TATTATTAAAATTAAACATAAAAATAAATTAAAATAAATATAAAAAAATCAAAACAAATTCTATATAATAATTTTCTTTATATATCCAATAAATAAAATCTTTGTAAAGACCTTCCTACATAATCAAATATCAGTGGACTAAATCGGAGATTCTAAAATATATTCATAATCAAATACTTGAATTGGTTTTTTTGGAATGATCAAAGGAAATCCTCAGCCGGTGAAGATTGTCCATTCCCATAAATTGATTGAATATCGCACACAGCCCACATGCAAGATTGTGTGTGTGCGTGTCCATTTCAAGCCAATAAATAAAATCTTTGTAAAGACCTTCCTACATAATCAAATATCAGTGGACTAAATCGGAGATTCTAAAATATATTCATAATCAAATACTTGAATTGGTTTTTTTGGAATGATCAAAGGAAATCCTCAGCCGGTGAAGATTGTCCATTCCCATAAATTGATTGAATATCGCACACAGCCCACATGCAAGATTGTGTGTGTGCGTGTCCATTTCAAGCAAGTTGCCTGTAATCTGCGCGTTCGTTCCGAAGCAGGCGGATCCTCAAGTTCAAAGCAAGAATGTTCAAGCGGTGTGCTGCAGAATTTCTCAGGGCTGCACACATTGTGCCATAAAAGCACCAAAATGACCCATGCCTTTCCGGATTTTGTTGCAGATTCTGCAAGCTCTCGCTCAAGCCAGCGCCTTGTTGCATTGCGCCATAGCCTCCTTGGCCATAACCTGCGCCATTGCCATAGCCTCCTTGGTCATAGCCTGCGCCATTGCCTTGGTCATAGCCTTGCTGATCATGTCCCTGTTGCTGGAGGGCCATGTCCTAGCCACTTGTCACACCACAGAAGTCCGGCAAGCAGCCGACAAGTCCTTGTTTTCTGCGGCTGGATCCTGGCAACAGGGATGAAGCGGTCAATTTTTAGACAACTGACTCAAAAGTGCTTTGAAAATACGTCGTAAAATCATCCATGCCTTCTCAAAGGGCTTCCGAAACTTCTCCTCCTCCTGGAAGCATGGCCACCACAGAAGGTGCCGTGTAAGAACCGTTGATTCCAAGCTGGCGCATACGTGCCTGCCTGAATTTCAACTCCCTGCTCAGCCGCAGCCTTCTCAAGACGAGCACACCATCCATAAGGCAACTGCTTGACAGGCTGCAACACGGCCTGCTTCTCTTGGGCAAGCTCTTCCAATACCTTGAGCTTATCAGGCGGTGCCACTGGAACCTGCAGCAAACCAAGGCAACAACTCAAACACTTCAAGATGGGAAAGTCATCGACTGTGCAACTTGGCGTTGTCGACCACACAAGTTTGGGTTGTCCTAAATTTGGCAAACAACTTGGACCCTGCAAGGCAGTTGCTATTCGCCGAGCAAACCTAGGCGGGGGTGCTGCGATGCAGCACTGAGGACCCTGCGCAAAAGTCCCAAGTGCGTGTACGGGACCACTCTGTTCCCTCTGGATTTGCTTCGTCCAAATCGTCTTGTGCAGTGGGACACACGTGGTGGGCACCACTGGATGGAGTGCGCACACAAAGACCTTCACCTTCAATGGGAGCCACCATGGCCTCCAAGGTCATCCGGTCCTTCCTCGGTACCCGATTCCAGTTGAAGGTGCCATCCTTGTCCCAAAACTCCTTGTCATCGTGGTACTTTGCCACAATGTCATGTCTTGCTTCGCAATGCCCGCCGGCATGGACAGTTTCTGAGTTCGGCTTGGGTGGGCCGCAGTAATCCCAGACTGCTGGTGGTTGGCCAGATCCCGCAACACGGTGATCAGCACCTGATGCATCAATAAACGATGGCTGCGCCAGCAATGGGCAGGGCTCCGTTCGATTCACCTTGCACCAGGGGAACTCACGACCACGCCCTGCGCAGTGCGAGTGTGGGGCACAGTCACAGCCTGCAGCAGTCCCATAGGGGGGGCCTGGTGCTGGAACAAAGTCTGGAGGAGTCGGGGGATCCAGTGCGTCCAATTGATCCGGGGCTGGACCAATGCCCATGCGCAGGAGGTCAAGGATGGGAAAGGTTCTCCTCTTTGCAACACGTCCAAGGGTTGTCAAATGCCCCGCTGTCCGCGCTGCACTGCCAGCATCATGAGCAAGTCCATGCAAAGCTTGGCGAGTCAACTCGCGGCATTTCCCCGAGCTCTTGGACTCGCATTGCTTTAACGTCTGCCAGTGCTGATCGAGCTTGGCCAGCTCTTGCTTCAGCTTCGAGGTGTGACGCCGCCTCATGAGGTCTCCCAACGACTGCCGAACGCTCCGCACCAGGTTGGTTGCCTTCTGGCTGCGAAGACGCATGTGCAGCACCTGAACATGAGAAGCTGACCTTGAAAAATGCTGCCGGCCGCCCAATGGTGAGACGACCCGCCTGGGCATCAGCCGCATTGTTTTCGGCACGTTCGATGGCCTTCCCAGCCTGGCAATGTCAGCCACAAAGAACACCCATGGACGGAACCTGGGAAGCCAGGCCTTCGTGCTGGCAATTTCTACAACAGAGGCTGGATCGTCCATAGCCATCTCCTTGTGCCCAGAGCGTTGGCTGCTTCGCAACATGTTCAGCCAGAATGTCATCATTCTGAATTCATCGAGCCTAAACATGACTCAAATAATTCTGGCAACTGGATTCTAGTTCCTACAGCTGGCAGTCTCACCTCTAGCTGTGTTCGAGGACCCTGCATGGCGGGTATTCTCAGCCTCCGAGGCCGCATCAGCCTGAAGTGATGGACCGAACAGCGCGCATTGCCCATGCGAAACAGCGATAGGGACTGCTAGTGGTCAAGCCGCCTGCGCTTCTTTCTCTGCCTGCAATCAAAAGGCGAGCCGGAGTCGCGAAACTCGGGCCAGGCCTCCGCTACCCACTGACCGTTTTCGTCCCAATAGCCACCCGCACTTGGGTGATAGTTCACTCCTGTGACAAGGGTTCCAAGGCTGTGTGCTATCTGTGCCCTTTACTCATACATGCCGATGTTGGCGTGCAGTCAACACGGCATGTGCTCCTGGGTCCGCCTGAAAGGACACCTTCCACAAGTTTGCAACGAAAATGAAGCAACCAACCCTGCATGGGCCCCAGCCGGCAAGGAACGCAAATGGTGAAGAGCAGAGGCAGTGCGACTGGAACAAGAGCCTACGCCAGCTGAGACGCAAATGCTATCACATATTCACACCAACGTCCTTCATGTTCCAACCAAAGCTGCGCCAGTCTCATGGCCAACGGAAGAGGCAGCAATCACATTGAACTAAGCAATGCCTGTCATTTGAGAAGCGGGCAAGGGTCTTGGCGTGCTGCGTTGCCAAAGGTTTCAAGGTGGGGTTCTATGCTTGGCTCCTGGAATTTGTGCAAGTCTGCTGCTCGGCTCCGTAGGACTCAGGCCTAAATGTGCAAATGAAGAGTGTCAGCCCGTATCAAGAAGCTTGTTCCCGGAGAATGCACTATGCGAGCACAAAAAATGCCATGCTGCAAGAATTTCTGGCCCAAATTGATGGAGCACATGATTTTCCCGCTGCATCCGTAGCTTCAGGCTCTTCTGCCAGCTCATCGCACAAAGGTCGCGGGGCGCTTGGCCTCTCAGGCACGCTTTTTCCAGCAGTCCAACCAGCCGCTTCAAGTGCTGTAGCCACCGTTAGGGCTTTTCTACTGTCCAGCCCAGAAAACAGAAAAAGGCCGAAAGGCCTGCAACCTCACTGACAGCGTGGACCATGGACCAGCCAGGCAGCTAAGCAAATCAAGCGATGGTCTCTGGGAAATCTGCTCATCGACACAGCGCCTTGAAGGTGGTGCGCAGCTTCTTCTTGGCCATAGGAATCTTCCTGTCAAGTCATTTCACTTCTCACCCTGCTTAATTTACCGAAACAAAATATAAATCATCTTAGCCGTGGAGTCATTGAGTCCTGACAACCGGGAACTTGAGCTTGCTGTCGTGCATCTCCTACAAGCATGCTGATGCGGCTCACTGCGGCTGATGCCGGATGCTTGCAGCAAAGAACGTGTCAAAATGTTCCAAAACTGAAAATTGCCCTGCTTGTGCAGTCCAGGACGTGATCGCGGCGGCACTGTTCGTCCGCAACTGTGGTGGCCTGTGTGATGGAAGGAAAACACAAGTCCTGGCCTCCGCTTTTCCGCTATTATTGAAGCATGAGGTACACAAAGAGGCAGCTGACAGCCGTTAGGAACGTGGGCCCTTCCAAGGCATCCACATGGATGATCTGGATGGAGCCCGGGCTGGCACGGTGGCGTCCTGCCATCTCTTGGTACCTCCGCGCAGCCAGAACTGGCTAGAAATGCACTGGAAACGTCTCAGCTGGCGGATGGCGCACAGCTGCCCAACCGCTCCATTGATGTTCACGTTGCGGAACTCCTTTCCCGCTGGCATGCAAAGCTTGGACAGCCAATGTCCGGAAGATTGATGTTAAACCTGATCAAGGCCCCAAATTGCTTCTTCCATGCTCAACCGAACAACCAAAGACTAAAGGGCTGACATTGTCCTTGTACATGTTGTGGGTGTTTGTGCGGCTGTCATATCGAAGCCAAATGCCGTAGTTCTTCACCTGCCCACTCTCAAACTTACCCACTCCACTACGCACACAGCACACAGCTCAGTGAAAAATGCCTTTGTTGGGCTGGTGTCGAAAAGCTCGTTCACCGACAGCAGCTCACCACCACTCTTCTTGGCCTGTGATTCAGGCAGTGACATCACCAAACCCGCCAAAGAACTGCTGGCAGCTTGCATCTGCACAAGCGCTCGCCCGAGCTCACCTTGTTGAGCCTCTTCATGAAGTACCAAAAGCGGGACTTGGCCAGAACAACGTTCCTTGCGAAGATCCTTCGGCTGTGAGCCCCTACTGCGTGCCAACCTCTGCCCAAGCTTGCTTGCAAAGCCTGTCAAAGTCAGTCCTCATGCGGTAGATCTTTGGAGTGGGGTTCTTGTTGGTCGGTGCTGCTCGGCCAACAATCTGGTACTGGTGCATCTTGGCCTGGACACGCCCAACAGTACTCTCTCCTCATTCAAATGCCGCGCATTACAAAAGGCCTCCAAAGAGGGATCAATGCTGAACGTTCCTTTTCCCATGGCCTGGCATGCAGTGCTGTGCAAAGGAACATTCGAGAGCGGCGCCCGCGGCACATGCACGCGCCCTTCAAGCGTGCCGCGCAGGCTTCAGAAAAAGCGGCTGAAGAAATGTGCTTCTTTGGCGGCTACTCTCTCTACTCTTGAATGCCTTCCGGTCTAATCTTGGGGTTGGGTTCTATGCTTGGCTCCTGGAATTTGTGCAAGTCTGCTGCTCGGCTCCGTAGGACTCAGGCCTAAATGTGCAAATGAAGAGTGTCAGCCCGTATCAAGAAGCTTGCTCCCGGAGAATGCACTATGCGAGCACAAAAAATGCCATGCTGCAAGAATTTCTGGCCCAAATTGATGGAGCACATGATTTTCCCGCTGCATCCGTAGCTTCAGGCTCTTCTGCCAGCTCATCGCACAAAGGTCGCGGGGCGCTTGGCCTCTCAGGCACGCTTTTTCCAGCAGTCCAAGTGCTGTAGCCACCGTTAGGGCTTTCTACTGTCCAGCCCAGAAAACAGAAAAAGGCCGAAAGGCCTGCAACCTCACTGACAGCGTGGACCATGGACAGCCAGGCAGCTAAGCAAATCAAGCGATGGTCTCTGGGAAATCTGCTCATCGACACGGCGCCTTGAATTTGATTCCTGCGCGCAGGCTTTCTTCTTGGCAATAGGGAATCTTCTGTCAAGTCATTTCACTTCTCCCCTGCTTAATTTACCGAAACAAAATATAAATCATCTTAGCCGTGGAGTCATTGAGTCCTGACAACCGGGAACTTGAGCTTGCTGTCGTGCATCTCCTACAAGCATGCTGATGCGGCTCACTGCGGCTGATGCCGGATGCTGCGCATAAGAACGTGGCAAAATGTTCCAAAACTGAAAATTGCTTGCTTGTTCAGTCAGGACGTTGATCGCTGGCTGGCATGTTCGTGCAACTGTGGTGGCTGTGTGATGGAAGGAAAACACAAGTCGGGCTCGCTTTTCCGCTATTATTGATGCTATGAGGTACACCAAAGGAGGCAGCTGACAGCCGGTAGTTTCATTGGCCCTTCCAAGGCATCCACATGGTTGATCTGGAGGAGCCGGGCTGGAAGCATGTGTTTGTTGTGGGGGGGGGGTTCGGTGCGCGGTCCTGCCATCTGGTACCTCCGCGCAGCCAAAACTGGCTAGAAATGCACTGGAAACGTCTCAGCTGGCGGATGGCGCACAGCTGCCCGACCGCTCCATTGATGTTCACGTTGCGGAACTCCTTTCCCGCTGGCATGCAAAGCTTGGACAGCCAATGTCCGGAAGATTGATGTTAAACCTGATCAAGGCCCCAAATTGCTTCTTCCATGCTCAACCGAACAACCAAAGACTAAAGGGCTGACATTGTCCTTGTACATGTTGTGGGTGTTGGTGCGGCTGTCATATCGAAGCCAAATGCCGTAGTTCTTCACCTGCCCACTCTCAAACTTACCCACTCCACTACGCACACAGCACACAGCTCAGTGAAAGATGCCTTTGTTGGGCTGGTGTCGAAAAGCTCGTTCACCGACAGCAGCTCACCACCACTCTTCTTGGCCTGTGATTCAGGCAGTGACATCACCAAACCCGCCAAAGAACTGCTGGCAGCTTGCATCTGCACAAGCGCTCGCCCGAGCTCACCTTGTTGAGCCTCTTCATGAAGTACCAAAAGCGGGACTTGGCCAGAACAACGTTCCTTGCGAAGATCCTTCGGCTGTGAGCCCCTACTGCGTGCCAACCTCTGCCCAAGCTTGCTTGCAAAGCCTGTCAAAGTCAGTCCTCATGCGGTAGATCTTTGGAGTGGGGTTCTTGTTGGTCGGTGCTGCTCGGCCAACAATCTGGTACTGGTGCATCTTGGCCTGGACACGCCCAACAGTACTCTCTCCTCATTCAAATGCCGCGCATTACAAAAGGCCTCCAAAGAGGGATCAATGCTGAACGTTCCTTTTCCCATGGCCTGGCATGCAGTGCTGTGGAAAGGAACATTCAATACCGGCGCCCGCGGCACATGCACGCGCCCCTTCAAGCGTGCCGCGCAGGCTTCAGAAAAAGCGGCTGGGGGTCAGCCGCAACTTGGTGCAGGGGAATGCGGGATGGCACCTTTTGAGCCAGTGCGGGCGATGAGTCACGCACGAGCTGGGCAACTGGAAGCTTCGAATTCCGAGAGCATCCTGATGAAGGCCGAGGCAATTCTCTGCTCAGACTATGTTTTGTCCAATGCAAAGCATGGCAACTTGACACCGGGCAACGGAGGTTCCGCATGCCAAGCCATCCACAGATTGTGTAGTTCCTGCTTGGCAGCATACCTAGTACTTGGAAACAGCACGCTGTCAACCAGTATGTCCCCCACTCAGGCACTCAAACAATGTTGTCAAAGTAGCTGATGTCCTTGCTGCTGAAGGCTCATCACGAGCAATCGCGGACGAAAACATCTCACCCGCTATACTGCGCTGTCCTGCTCTTTGGCGGTCAATCCAGGCAGGTTGCAGTGCAAAGGCCCACACCTGCTGACTCATTCCGTCATGTGAGAATCTGGACATGGGTGACTCACAAACTTTGCCTAAGCCCCTGACACGTCAGTGCCCAAACTGTCTCGGCAGCATTGGGACTCCTGTCAAGTCGGCGCAAGTCTTGCACATGATCAGATTGCATCAGTCCCTTTCTTGCATTTCCGTATGAATGCGCACCGTAAATTACAATCGTGCACAAACAAAGACTGAAATCCCAGGAATTGGGTGGGTTTCAATTTGAGAGGATCGCAATCAAAACTGCCGGGACTACTGGGGCAATTGAAAACAACCGGACATGGGACAGCTTGGTTTCAAAGCCACCTTGCGCTTGAATCTTTGCAAATGCCCTGCAGGTCCTTCTTAAGAGTTGTGCTGGACACTGGAAAAGCTCTTGCCACGTTGCAGAAGGAATATCAGTCTGTCTTCATTGAACCAATGTAGCTGACATGCGAGTGTGGCATGCATCAACCTGCCTAGGTATCAAAGCACCCACAGAGTTGTGCTGCAAACAGCCCTAACTCAATAATAACATTTCAACGCATGTATGCATGTATGTATGCATGCATGCATGCATGTATGCATGTATGTTATTAACATAATGTGCATAATCATATGTATGATTGTATAGTATAAATTATATATATATATATATACAGTTACTAAAGGATCCAATAGTGGAGTTTCGGTCTGGATCTTAGTCAAGAGGTGTTTGGTTGTCATTCCTCCCAAAACCTCTGACAAGTGCTGCCGTGCCTTACACATTTGTTCGCATTCCGCTTCCGCGAGCTCATTGCCGTTTGCAAAGAGACTTGGCCAAAGCGAAGGCTGTTGTAGAAAATCCCAGGTGTGCACACGAGCATAAGTTTAAGTAACAAACAGTACCACAAGTGGAAATCACATGCCGCAAAGTCATCGTGAAAGAATTGCACTACGTACTCGTCGCCTCGGGAAAACAAATATAGAATCTCGATTTGACTTCCCAGTGGTTCTGGAAAATTGGTGCTGCTCGGATATTCTTCGTGATTGGACTCTAGAAAGTACAAAACATGTACAGGCACAAAAGGAAATCAGAAAGCATCAAAACGCTGTGTTTCTGCTATGTTGGTCATGCCCAGGGATGACTAAGTGCACGAATCGACTGAAACAAGAATCTCCAAAGCGTATCCACCCATCAGTCCTGTGAACAGCATCCTTTTCCGCAGCAAACTGAGTTTGCTGCACAGCAAATACCATCGCAGCATTCGGCGTCTGGCAGACAAATACTTCGGCCATTCACACCTCATACCAGGGCGATGGCGGCCACGCACGACTAAGCAGTGGGATAGACCAGGTCATGTTGAGAACATGTTTCGGAAGCCTGGCGCATCCATTAGAAAAAGAAGACGCTTCATGCAAACTGTATGCCTGCTATGTGAGAATGTACCTGACGCACCTGCCCACATCCCTTCAAAGACGAAGTCTTCCGAAAACCGCAGCTCTCAATTTGTTCAACGCCGTGCTGCCAATGCAGGGCTTGAAGAGTCTTGACGGCACATATCCAGGGCAGCACTTGGCAGTTCCGTTCTGGCCAGGGCAGCAAGCCCCTGCAACGCCTCAGCACGAAAGACTCGGCTGGCTTTGAAGAAGTCGAGTCAGGGCTGCAACAGCTGCATCCCTGCTCTACACATGGTGAAAGCCCTTCAAACCCGAGGTGCTGCAACAAGAATGCCATGCTCCGTCCAGGTCAGGGCAGCAGCCCTGTAATTCTCGCACTGGAATCGGAACTCCTTCATGCCTTGGCATCTTGACAAGCAAGATGATTTGCAACATGCAAGACAGCTAGAGCAAAACAACGTTTTGAAGCATGAGAGACATGTCTTACACGTCTCACATGCCCGACATGTCTCACACTGATGTCCGATCTGTGCTGTATCTGACGTGTCTGTTGTTTCCGATGTGTCTGATGTGTCGGACGTGTCCCGGGATGGCATGCTCTGGGTCCAATTCAACAAAAAGGCACATTCCGTATGTTTACGGCGTGTTTTGCCGAACATGCTTCGATCTTACCTCCCCCCCGCAGCAACAATGTATCTGCCAAGGCTCTCGCCGTGTGTATTCTCGCTAAGCATCAAGCCTATGCGTAGCGATAAAAGCAAATGCATCCGCGCCATTGCTGTGGAGACTTTGGCCCGGCAAAAGGCGCGACTGCATTGGTACTTCTGTACAAAGCGTGTGAGTGCAAGGTCTGTCCAGCTAGAATCTTGGAAATGCTTGAACTGCTCAGTGTGTCGGACAATGCCTCTAGATCAAGCATCTCAACCTGTCATGCTCGCAGCAAGCAAGCTCTTGTTATGCAGTCTAAACTAAATACGGCCTTCCAAAATGGACCTCACAGGAGAACATAAAATGGAATGTAATGCAAAAGTTGGTTCGGGATAAGTTTGCCATTCGGTCATACTCCTTTGAGCCTAGTGATGTCTTTCCGCGTTCTGGCTCTAAAGGTTGCTCCGGCAAGCCACACCTCTGCTCCAACTCAAGCAGGAGGCGCTTTGACTCTGCCACCTTTTCCACCGCTAAGGTCTGCATTTGTTTTGTTCACGCAGCGCTAGAAAGGCAAATCTGACCCTGTGTACATGTGCACAGCGCATCAGCGCGCGTTCGCCGCGTTCAAGCCTTTCGCTTCTCCTTCCGGGCCGATCAACACAGACTCTTTTTTTAAGCATGCAAATCCGACCGTGACATGTTCACACACTGTCACTGTCACACACCACGCAGCCAAATGGTGCAGGTTTTGAAATCGTGCCATCTAAGATGCTACCCAGGCCAAACCAGCACCAAGTTGCCTGGGATACTACCAGGGGCTTTTGAAGGCGATCGAGAAGATTCCTCGGTCAATCATGCTATCTAAGAAACTCACTGTTTCGAGCTAGATCTGTTAAAAAGCGCTGATTTCACGACGAGTCTTGTTCTTCCAGGGGCCCCTGCGACAGCGCTGGTCGCTCCCGGACTTGCCTGGCAACAACCGTCACAGGACAAAGCAGAGTGGAGTAGACCGGCGTTGCAACATGCTCCAGTCTCTATGGTGGCTCTGAAAATCAAAGTGCTTAAGCCATCGAAGCCCATGATGATGATGATGATGATGATGATGATGATGATGATGATGATGATGATGATCATGACGACGACGACGGCGGCGGCGACGACGACGACGACGGCGATGATGATGATGGTGATGACGGGACGAGGATAAGGGTGCGGACAAGAATGATGATGATGATGATGATGATGACGACGATAATGATAATGATGACGGTTATTTTTATTATGATGATGATTATTATTAAAAGCAGCCCAAGCTTTCCAGGTCCTTTCTTGCAAGCAACCAGGTCCTTGTACTTCTTCTGATTTGGGGCTGGCAAATTTCTGCGAAAGTCGTGATCCAGCCTTGGAATCAATGGAAGCATAATTTCTGGGACTTCTGGGATGATTCGAATTGGTTTGAGTCATAAGTTTGTGCTTTTCAGAAGTTGCTTGGCTCAAACCAACAGCAAATATGCGAAGGGAATCATTGGAAGAATTGGAAGCATTGAATACTTGAGGTCTGTGTCTTTAGGAAGTTGCTTTGCTCAAAATGAGCAGTTCAAGCAGCCGCAATAGCAGCAGTGATGGCACCACAACAAGGAGTAGGTCTTCCAGCAGAAGCAGAACAAGGAGCTTGTTGTTGAACATGGAAACTTCTTGTTGTTGTTGTTGTTTGACATCATTGACTTGGCTAAGACTTACAACAGTAACAACCAGAATCCCACTGGCAAATTGCCCCCTCAGGAGCAGAAGCCGCACCCAGCCATCGCGCCGAAGGAGACGAAGCAACAGTTGCAGCAGCACTGGCAGCAGCGACTTAAGCACCCAGACCTCTGGATGCAATGATGTGCTGCAGCAAGCAAGCAGTCTCAGCTGAGCCCTGTCTGGTTCGATTATCCAGTTGTAACTATTATTGTGTTTATTGTCTTCATTCTTTTGGTTTATTTCCTGGTTACTATCACCGCATCACAAGGTCACCGCATCAAGGGCCCTGGTTCCTTGATATTACTATCACCCCAGCAAGCCCTGATTCTGATCCTTTGAGACCCCTGAGCGCATTTTTGTACATCCAAGGAGGCGCGTCTACCGGCCGCCCTTCACGCTTACAGAGCGGCAGCGGCAACACCTGCATGGCTGGGGCCGCCAAATGGCGGAGAAAGCAGGCTCCTTGCCAAAACCGGTTTTTTGAGCCTCTTTTTCTAGTGCGCAACAACTGGTTGATTTAATTTGGTTTACTTTGGCCAGCGAGGTGTGACCACCTTTCTGCGGAACCTGAAGCAACCTGTTCAGCTGATGTGCGATTGCCCCTGGGCTGCCATCAGAGTTCAACATGGGGAAATGTCAGTGGTTGACATTAAGCAGCCACTTGTTTTTCAGGTTCTGGTGCTGGAGCATCGCATTGGGCTCTTAAAGAGCTGACTGGTGGCCGTCTGGAGCTGCTGTCTTGCTGCGACTCTGGCCTCGGGCCAGTGAAGTTCATCTTGAAGAACTTGCAGCCGCGGCAGCACCTTGGTTGCAACTCTCATCTTTCCATACTTTCATCTTTTGAGGTTACTTTGAGCTTTTGACTTGAGCTTGGAACTTTCGGGCTACTTTGGTGGCTGATTAACTTTGGGCTGTAAGGATATTCCTGGACATGGGGGACAGAGATGTGAACTTCCTCCGTGGAAGGGTGGGGGCTTACACATGTGGGTTTCCCTGCCAACCTTTCTCCCTCCTCCACAATGGCACACGTCTCTTTGGAGAAGCTGATGCAAATGTGTTTTTTCAAACACTGGCAACAGTGCTTCGCGTGGAACCGCTGTTGGCTGTGCTCGAAAACGTGATCGGCATTATGAGGGTGTGGCGGAGGGCCGGGTTGGGCAAAATAAATGTTTCACTTGAACCAGGTTCAAAATCATGGCAAGCTTGGTGAATGAAGTATTAAAAAACCCTTCCCCCTAGTTTTAAACCCCCTAATAAAAAAAATCCTTCCGGGAAAAAACGATTTTATAATCAGGAGTCCCCTGTTCAGCTTGCGGAACTTTAGGGCAGCATTTGGAAGTAGCATTGTTTTAGTATTGGTTTTCAATAGGAATGTGCTCCCCCTTTCCGGGCACAAAGAAGCTTCCAAATGATTGTTTTTAAGTAAGGGATTTAAATGGAAACGGCGACCTTTTATTTTCCGGGAAACATGTTGTTCGAGTGTTGTGTGTTTGAGTGTGGGTGAGTGTGGGGAAAAAAGTACCCCTAATACGGCTGGTTTGGAGGACGAACGGGAAAATGGATACTTCAGAATTGGTTTAGTATTGGCCTATTCTAAAAGTAGTATTGCCGGATTTGGAATTCTGGAAAACAATACGATTCAGGGAGACCTTTAAGATTAGGAAGAAGGGATTATTCTGTAACGCGTGAACCCTGAGAGCCTTCAATTTTGACCAGTCTGGCAGGTCCAGATGTCGTTGGATCGGCTCCGCCACCGCTACTACATCACCAACTTGGGAATAGATTCTAAAGATGTGGGGGACGCGCAGTCCCGAAGGAGGATGTTTTTTTTCTTAGTGAGAAAGGATGCTACAGAGTTGACTTCTGACAACGCCCTGAAGAACTGTGTGCAAGAGACCGTCAACAAGTTGAAAGCCACATACCATCCTGATGCGACGCTTGGCTTGTTAGTATGAGTTCCCCCTTGCTTTCCAAACTATATCTAGTTTTAATAACCAACGCTGCAGGTATTCAACTCATTGTAATTCTTTACTCGTGGGTTCATTCAGGTTACAGCTGCTCTTCCCGAATGGCCACCCCTTGGTGAAGCAGGACGTCATGAGGAGGAAGGAGCGGGCAAGACGACAAACCCACAAGATTGAACGCTATGACTTGAACCAGCAGCGCCTTGCTTCACTTCAGCATTTCGGCTTTGTGTGAGATTTTGTAAGACGTGGGTCCTATACCTTGTCAACACTCAACCCCAAACCAAAAAATACATTTCTATTTAGTGTCCCAGAACGTGGACCCAGCCTGAGGCCTCAACCTGGCGATCCAAAATGGCTGGAGAAGCATCGCATCAAAATGGCTGAGTATCAGGCGCTCAAAAAATGCCAAACAACAATCCCAAGTTTTCAGGGCAACAGTCCCTGGACAGGTGGACCTCGACACCTTGGAGCCTGTGAGTGAAATCAGGGAGGTATCAGCATCGCAGCGGGTGCGCAATGCCATTGACATCCTGTCGGGCGGGCCTCACCACCCCACCACCTTCGTGGACACGAGCCAACAAATCAACCGCATGATGGCGCGCAAGCAAGGGGTGCCCTGTGTGACACCGACTGCCGAGCTGTGGAGCATGGCTCTCAAGCGGTACGTCACAGGCCCAGCTGCCCAACAAATAGTGAATCCCACTGGGTTTAATGTTTGTTGTTTTGAAGGGGTTTTCCCAACTCATCAGCGTCGCAAACCGCCTCACAACATTGAAGATCATGACCGCCGTCCTCACCATCACCATCACCACCATCATCATCATCATCATCGTCATCATCATCATCATCATCATCATCATCATCATCATCATCACCATCATCATCATCACCGTCGTCGTCGTCGTCGTCATCGTCATCGTCGTCATCATCATCATCACCACCATCATCACCCACCCCTACCCCCACCCACCCCCTACCCACCCCCCTACCCACCCCCTACCCACCCACCACCCCCTACCCACCCACCCACCCCTACCCACCCCCACCCACCCACACCCACCCACCCACCCCTACCCACCCACCACCCAGCCCCACCCACTCACCCACCACCCACCCATCACCCATACCCACCCATACCCCCCATGCCCACCCACCCCTGCCCACACCCCTGCCCACACCCTTGCCCACCCCTGCCCACCCCCTCCGACCCCGCCCCCCGCCCGCCCACCACGTCCCAATCCAACCCGTTCTGGGGTGGAGGGAGGCCTTCGGGCCGTACCTCCCCGTCCATACCCCAGCATGTGCGGGGTGGACCGTACCTCCCCGCTTGCCCCGGCCTTTTACCCCTGCCCACCCCTGCTCACCGCCGCCCACCCCTGCCCACCCCCCCTACACACACACAAACAAACACAAACACAAACACAAACGCACAAACACACAAATGTCTAGTATAATAGCTTGTCTACAGCCTCATGTTTATCCCCCACATGGTTTCCATCGCTGCCAGCGTCTCTAATGTGTTTTGGCCAAGGGGCCAACGTTGCCCTGTGAGGAGTGGAGAAGCTGGTGCTGCAGTCATTTCCAGTGGACACCTTGCACCTCGATCACTTGACGAATGGACAAGTCAATAGACTTGCTGGAAACGCGTTTAATGTTCGGGCCATTGCATGCGCCCTTTGTGCAGGCCTTCGTGCCTGCCATGTGGGGAGATGGAACTCCCTCATGGAGCAACGATGAGAAGAGAGAAGACAACAATTCCATCTTTGGGGGCTGATTCAATGGGGAAAGGTTGTATATTGAAGTCTGAATTTGGGATTGTTTGTTTGGGGGGCTGGCTGTTTCAAGAAAAAACAACGTGGGATTCCAGAGGCCTCTCAAAACGTCAGGTTGGACATGCATCTTTCCTGACTGGTGTCTCGAAGCTGAACTGTAGATGATGACTAGGTTGACAATCAGTCAGTTTCAGCACCATCTGCAACATACCAGTAACACACTGGATGGCAAAAAAAAGAAACAGGAAAATTATGAGCCAGGGTTCATAATTCATCTTCGTTTCTTGGTGACGGGAGCCTGCCATGGCTCTTGCTCGCTACAATGCTTCGGAGTCGTCAGATTCTGAGAGCTCCCAATCTTCTGAGTCTTCATCTTCTACTTCAAGATCGAGATCCCCAGTTACCAGGCGCCCGCGGTGAGAAATTTGAGCTGGAACTCTTTGGTATCTCTGGAGGTTTCCCCAGAGCAGGATGACGACCGAGCTGC